TCATCCGTTGTCCCACACCAACCGTGAGAACTACAACATAGGCCTCCTGGACACAGGGCATCCTCGGCTTGCTGACCGCATTGCTCAGCTGAGCCTCTAACCGAAAGGGACAAGAATAAAGAGAAAAATGTGAAAGCCCAAACACTCATTTCTTGTTAATATGCTTTAGTTCGTTGATGAGTAGGTGAAAGCAAGTGGGTATATATAGCTAGGGGGAAACCAGGGGGAGGCAAGCAGGGACCGGGTCCCTGCAAAACATTTTAATTTTTTTTATTTAGTATTTAAATATAAAAAAATATAATATTTTTATTTTAAATAAACAAATTTTTTAATAATATATCTTATCATATTAATTTTAGCCTCCCCTGTCAAATCTTACCAGCTCCGCCCCTGTATATAGCTAATAATAGAGGTATGCAATGGCATTTCCGTCCTTATAATTTGTAATAAAACATTATGTTTTCCCTGGAGACGGTAACAAAAGTGCCATCTTCGTCCCCATCATTTCCCTCTTTTCTTTATTTCCCTCATTTAAAAAGAAAACCCTGCAAATCTCAAAGCATTTGTGCCTCAACTTTAAAAATCAAAATTTTAAGTGTAATATATAAAATTAAAAAATTAAATATTTAAACTTAAAATTAAATATTTTAACTTTCATATTACTTCATTAATTTTATAAATTACTAATATTAATTATATAATTAATAACATCATGATTATATTATATAAAAAATAACTAAATTAGTTATATAATTATATTTAATTTAATTATAAATATATTAAAATATAATTGATTCTTGTAAATGGTTTTTTTACCATTAGAATGCATATAAATAAAAAAAATTATATTTATACTATTTAAAAAAACTATTTTATTAGTTTAGTTATTTAACATAGCATCTCCCATGGAGATGGTCCAGCTCCTTTTAAAAAGTCCATATCAATGAATAAAACGTGCTCGGTGGAGTTAATTATCAACAGAGCCAAATTGTTTAAGCATCTCATCATCAAACTCCTCACTTGGCAGTCGCTACCACAGTAATCATTTGTGTGCCACACCAGCTAAATTGGCTACATCATAGACCTCCACACTGCTCAGCTGAGCCTCCTAGTCTTCCACGCTGCTCAGCTGAGCCTCCTCGTAAAAGGGACAGCAATAGAGAGAAATCCGTGAAGGCCCGAATCTTCATTTTGGAGTGTTTTGTCCGCGATTTTGTTGATTTTGAGATCGCAACAGCATCAGTACGATATACAGGGGAAACATGGCTACTTAATATTCAATTTCAGTCTCGTAAATTTTTATGTGAATAAAAATTTATATAATTATTAATTTTAAAATTTATAAAATTAATTAAAATATATATAAACTGATTTTACACCTTCATGTTAATATAAGCTATTCCAATAATTATATCTCTCATTTATCCAATCTAATAATTTTCTAAATGATTATAGTATTTGTGTTTTTATAACTTTTCTGGATTTAGCATGTTAATTAAATAGAAGATATTAGGTGTTGTTATAAATTTTTTTATTAAAAATTAATTTTTTTATATTTTTAATTGTTTTAATACAGTAATTTAAAAAATAATTTTTTAGACATAAAAATATTATTTTAATATAAAAAATATTTTACAAAGTGATGATGAACAGCGGGTGGCGGCTTTAAGGTCTTGTCTTCTGCATTTTTTTTTCTCAACTTTTTTGTTCCCGATAACATAGAATAATCTGTACCTTCATGTGCGTGGCCTTTGCTGTCTGTAAATATCAGCTGATGTTGGCCTGTCACTTTAGAGTACGATAGACACCTGGTGATCAGGGATAGGGTCGTAGTGACCATTAGAGAGAAGAAGAGGAGATATCGAGCGTTGAAATTCTATCACAAAGGTTCATGTAGGAATATGCTCTTTAATAACGTTTTAAGTCATTTGTGAGTTATTTACATTCAGACAAGAATGTAGAATGTAGAATGTAGAATGTAGAATGTAGAATGTAGGTACTTTAGATAAGTTCTTCTCAAAAAGTGGAAATTGGAGATGATTTATTGTTTGTCGTGGGCCCAGGGTTGATCAATTTCTTTAGATACCTTTTTTTTCCCTCTTATAACCTTTTTCTTCTCTTATTATTTTTTAATACTGTAAAAAAAAAATTAATATAATTTTTTTATATTATATAAAAATTAGATGATGATATTTTTTTTAATTTCAGATTAGGTTGAATTTTTTTATTAAAATATATTTGTTTTTTATTTCAAAAATATTTTAAAAAACATTATTTTTTTTAATTTTTTTCTTTACTTCAAAACACATTTCGGTTACAATTTTTTTTAATTTGTGACTGAACTTGAGATCACAAATTTAAAATTTTAAAATTTTTTATGGGAATTTTTATTCCTATTTATAGTTGCAAATCGGTTAAAAAATAAATAAATAAAATTTGAATTAGTCCAGAATGATTAACGTTACCTACAGCAAAGGCTCCCACCAATTGGCTGCACAATTAACCCCTGTTAAGATTTCCGCAATGTGTGTTCCATGTGATTTTTATAGTATTTATTAAAAAAAATAAAATGATTATTTTTTATTTTTTATTTTCAATATTAGTGTATTAAAATTATAAAAATATATTAGTTTAATATTTTTTCAAGAAAAATATATTTTAAAAAATCATTAAAAAACAAAAATTATCTCAAACACTACCTAAAAATGACAACAATAATTTTAGAGAGGAAACTTCCAAGACCCAAAGCTTCATCTAGTCTTAAGAATTAATTTGTTGATCACTGAGATTATCGTATATATTTATTGGGAATTATTGTTCATCCAATAAAGACCCAGGTGACATGTCCTCTTCTGTATTATATTCTGATTCAAAATTTAATTGATTTTTATTTAATCCATCTTAATGAGAAACTTAGTTATTGAGACTAGAATGTGATAGAGATAGAAAAAAAAAAGGGAAATATGTTAGAGGAAATGATAAATATATTAGAGAAAATGAAAGTTTATTTTTTTTTTATATTTTAATTATTTTGGATCTGATTTTTTTAATCAAGTTTTTTTTAAAAAAAAAAAACAAAAAAAGATTAGGAAACTTGAGTCAGGTCTGGGACCAATGAGTCCTCTACACGATCCAAGCCTTTGGTCCAAAGATGTGGGCTTCTAGAAGTGGTTGTGGGCCCTTAGACAGACCCAATAAGAAATGTAGTCAACATAATTTTGAGTTTAAAGGCTTTCAACGAGTGTGGAAAATATAAATCTAGCTTAGAATACTCTAATTCAAAATCTAGAAGAGCGACACAGAAGAGCGTAGTTGTATAACCCAATCTGAGTTAACCCGAGACAGACATTGATTACGGATCGGGAGACTTAATCTCTAATTTTTTTTTTAAGAAAAAAATAAAATAATATTGTTTGTTCAATTTTTTTTTTAAGTCAATAGCTGTGAGGATTGGGTTTTAATTGAGTTAGCAAGTCGATACATATTTATGATTAGGTCAGCCGAGCAGGTTTTATTTTATTTTATGTTTTTTAATCCCAAGGTTAGGTCAGTCTTGGGTTGTTCCAAGTTTACAACTACATAGAAGAGTTATAAATTGCTGTAATCAATTTCCCCATCCATTTTCGGGCTGCTGAATTAATTTGTGTCCCCAACTCTACTAGCAAAAACAACTATATATCAAGGTCTGTACAAGAAGCGCAGTCATTGGATCATATCATATCAATTCAAATAGATTTTAATCAATATATTATACTTTAGTCAAATTTAATATGAGCAGGATATGATCAAGTTTTACCATGATCGAGAGTTAGGGTGCGGGTTTACCTTTTCTAACATCCTGTCCATTCCTGCATCATTTTTTTTTAATATATATATATTGGTTTATATTGTGTACATGAATCGATTATGTTATAGTTTTTTTTTGTTTTTTTTAGAAATATTATAGTGTTGTGGTTCGAAAATGGAAGTCTATTATTTTTTATATTTTAATTATTTAGGATCTGATTATGTGATTTTTTTAATCAAGTTTTTTTTTTAAAAAAACAAAAAACAAAAAAAGAGTAGGAAACTTGAGTCAGGTCGGGGACCAATGAGTCCTTTAAACGATCCAAGCCTTTGGTCCAAAGATGTGGGCTTCTAGAAGTGGTTGTGGGCTCTTAGACAGACCCAATAAGAAATGTAGTCAACATAATTTTGAGTTTAAAGGCTTTCAACGAGTGTGGAAAATATAAATCTAGCTTAGAATACTCTAATTCAAAATCTAGAAGAGCGACACAGAAGAGCGTAGTTGTATAACCCAATCTGAGTTAACCCGAGACAGACATTGATTACGGATCGGGAGACTTAATCTCTAAATTATTTTTTAAGAAAAAAATAAAATAATATTGTTTGTTCAATTTTTTTTTTAAGTCAATAGCTGTGAGGATTGGGTTTTAATTGAGTTAGCAAGTCGATACATATTTATGATTAGGTCAGCCGAGCAGGTTTTATTTTATTTTATGTTTTTTAATCCCAAGGTTAGGTCAGTCTTGGGTTGTTCCAAGTTTACAACTACATAGAAGAGTTATAAATTGCTGTAATCAATTTCCCCATCCATTTTCGGGCTGCTGAATTAATTTGTGTACCCAATTCTAGTAGCAAAAACAACTATATATTTTTATAAATTGCTGTAATCAATTTCTCTATTTATTTTCGGGCTGCTAAATTAATATGTGTCACCGTTCTATTCTATTAGTGGTGGAAGCAACTTGTCTTCTTGCATTGCACATGAATTCGAATTCTGACATGGACGTTTATCACCCCGTGATGCATTACATGCCTACTAGGTTTGCAGGATATTCAATGAACTGTAAAAATTAATCGTGATACGTGCAAGCCAACCCGAACACCTCACATAAATTAAAAAAATAAAAAACAGCAATATTTCACGTCTGTAAAAGAAGCGCAGGGCCATAAAACTTGAAGGCATGGATAGATTAGAGAGACGTACACGTGTCATATTTTTTATTTGACTCAGAACAGGAAACGTTTTATTTCTATATTTTGTCAGGCATTCAGATTACAGAAGGATGTGACAAAATTACATGGAGTCTACCAAGTCCAAGAGTCCATTTGCAAATGACCTCTGGTTGTAGCAGTCAAGATTGTTGCCATATCCAACTCCAAGCAAGTCACAGTACCTCTTGTAGAACCCAATACGATCCTCCACCTGTTGCTTCCACCCCATACCACATTCAAGCCCACCATTGATAATGTTTGTTAACACACCGTAGCCTGGAACCCGACCAGCAGCCGTATCAGCACCGGAAGGTGACCAATTCCCAGTGATGACACTATGGCATGAGGGCTTTGGAGACTGTGCTGTCATCCAAAACCAAATTGCTGTCTTGAAGGAAATTACTGGATCGGTTGCAACCAGATCAGGATTGTTTAATAGATCCACTCCTATAGCTTTTCCACACTGCCCGTAGTTGTAGTTCCTGTGTTATATTTATCAAATTAAATTAACTTCACTGCAAAGTTGTGCTAAATAAAATACACACACACACACTTGAATTATTTCAATTTGATTTTTAATGCTTCAAAATGGGTGGATGAATATGTAAACTCAGAAATGAAAAAAAAAAAAAACGTACCAGATAACAATAATAAAAAATCTGGACTTACCATGAAAGTTGGACTGGACCTCTGCCATAATATTGCTTGCCACCAGCACATGGATATGTGGAACTCGGAGAACAATAAGATCCAGGATTTTGTTCCTTGACAAAGCAATATCCCCAAGCGTATGGACCATCAGGTGCAGTTTGCCACCCTCCTACATGTACATTCATCAAATGAAATCATGATAATTAACATACTAATATTCCTGTTATACATAATGTTATGTGAAGAAGTATATAAACTAAGCTGATTAATTAGGTTTGAGCCTGATTAAACGAACCAGTTGTTTCATGAGAGGTTTGGCCCAAGAAAGCAGCGATCTCCCTTTTACGAGTGCCAGCATCACCAGTAGTGCCGAAGCCAGGGAAGGCATTGGCAGCTGAGATGAAAGCATTGTAAGTGTAGAATCCCTTGCCAGGGCATCCACCATCATTTCTATGTTTAAGCATCTCATCAAACTTCGCACTTGAGATGATACTGCCAAGGTCTCCTCCGCCCGCACCACCGCACTGGCTTTGGCAGCCGGTACCACAGTAATCATTATTTTTGCCACACCAACCAAATTGGCTACAACATAGACCTCCCGGACACAGGGCACCCCCAGCCTGGCTTCCACACTGCTCAGCTGAGCATCCTAGTAAAAGGGACAGCAATAGAGAGAAAACCGTGAAGGTCCAAATCTTCATTTTGAAGTGTTTTGTTTGGGATTTTGTTGATTTTGAGATCGTAACAGCATTAGTATTTATAGGGGAAACATGGCTACTTAATACTTCCGTCACTTGTTAATAAAAACTGTGGACTATTTCAATGATGCTGGCTGCTCATTTATCCAATCTAGTACTTTTCTAGATCCATAGTGGTCTGACCTCATGAAGATTTAACATCTATGTGTCATTTATCCAATCTAGTACTTTTCTAGATGTTTTAAACCATAGTGGTCTGACCTCATGAGGATTTAACATCTATGTATTAATTAAAGAGAAGATATAATAAAGTGATGAACAGTACATGGCGGCTTTTAGGGTGTTGTCTTCTGCCTTCTTTTTCTTAACTTTTTTTTCCCGATAACATAGATTAATCTCTAGCTTCATGTGCGTGACTTTTGCTCTCTGTAAATATCAGCTGATGCTGGCCCATCACTTTAGAGTACGATAGACACCGGTTGATCAGGGATAGTGTCGTATTGACTGGGGTTAATTTGTTGGAAATCCATTAGAGAGATGAAGAGATATCGAGCGTTGAAATTCTATCACAAGGGTTCCTGTAGGAATATGATCTTTAATAGCCTTGAAGTCATATGGGAGTTATTTACGTTAGGACAAGAATGTAGGTGCTTTTGATAAGTTCTAATCAAAACGTGGAAATTGGAGATGATTTATTGCCTGTTGTGGGCCGTGGGTTAATCAATTTCATCTTCCTCTTTCTTTTAGTAGAGAAAAATATTATTTTTTTAGTATATGTTTTCTTCTAACTTTTGTTCCTTCTTTTTTATAGGCCTCAAAATCTTTCTCTGACTTTGATTATATAAAATCAATTTGCTTATTTATTTTATTTCAAAAGCTAGGAATCCTTTCATATCAACTTGTACATTAATTGATATTTATTTATACTCAGAAAAATAAATATTTTTCAAAACTAATCCTAAAGTCCAAAATAAAAGGATAAAAAATTAAAAATCAAAGGAAACTTTCTTATCATAGAACTTATAATGTTTCAAATAAACCTACCTATAGACTCAAGCCTGTCACTAGAAAAATAATAATTATAATTCTTTAGCCTAGTGTCTGCATTGCCAAGAAACACCATAAAATATGTCACTTCACACATAGAGTTATCAACTCTCCCGTTTGACTTTTTAAAGAGGAAGATGCTCGAAAAGTGAAAAGTGACATTACTAGCTACTAATTAGGTCTAGTTTGGTTCATGCACTAGAACAATATCGTTCCATGATTGTTAATTTACACGTGGCATCATATATAAAAAGTACCATTCGCAATTTTAATCACCCACAAATAGCCTGAGTTCAATCAGGATTCAGGTGAGCTCATATTGGATAGTTTAGGTGAGCATAGTTAAGCCCATTAGCATCGGGCAACCTGGTAATTTCTCGGTTGTTCCAATCATTTTTCTTTATTATTCTCACTAGATAGTTTTATAAATTTATTTGGATATTAATGAAATATTTATAGAAAATACACTATAATTTATATATTTTTAATATATTTATCTTAAAAAAATCTGTATAAACTTATCTTTTTAGATTTCATCTTTCTAGATTTCATATATGTGAAGTCTAACATAATACAAGTAAAATGTAAATTTAAATAAAGTTTAAAAAATATTTAAGTCTATAGTATATTATTTATTCTCTTTCCGTCACTGTCATTTGTATAAACACTATACTGATATAAATATCAGAGTAATTTTCTTTCAGGTATCACAAGTCCGTAAACCCGGACAAATCCAGTTTTATCTGCTCATAAAAATCGCACCCAATCTTTTTCCTGGCCACCGAACTTTATTATGCTAGCTGCACCTTGATTATTAATTAGCTACTCTTTCAAAGAATCTGTAAGTGATGATATATATAGATGACTAGCCAACAGCGATGTTCCTGACTTCTTTTCTTCTTCTATGTAATTTAAATTGATACTAGGTTTCTTTTTCCTTTTTTTTTTTTATCTTGTTGTATGGGTTATAGTTGCACCTGCTGTCAAAACCCATCAAAAGCTCCGCAACTCTATTAGGAAGATAGAAAAGGCTCTGGACTGAACTGAGACGGTATTTTGTAGATACATAACTATTTCTTTATTTTCCGATCGCCTGGAAGGGACAAAAGAAACATCTTATTCTTACTGGTGGAAATAGAAAAGGTCGATAAGCTAAAAGCTTTCGTTATTTAAATACGTGATAGCTTCAACATCAAAATATTACATGGTGTCCTTCAATCCCAAGAGTCCATATCCAAAAGGCCTTTGCTGGTAGCAGTCAAGATTGGAGCCATAGGTTGTTCCGAGTGAATCACAGTATGTCTTGTAGAACCCAATGCGATCCTCATTTGCATCATTTGGCCCTCCCTGGCCACATTCAATGCCACCATTGATGATGTTTGTTATCACACCATAGCCTGGAACCCTACCAGCCTCCACGTCTGCCGCGCTCGGTGTCCAATTTCCAGTGATGACTGCGTGACAAGAGGGCTTTGGGGACTGTGGTGTCATCCAAAACCAGAGTGCTGTCTTGAAGGAAATGACAGGATCAGTTTCAACAAGTTCTGGTTCTTGTAACAGTTGCAAGTTCAAGTCGACTCCGCATAGCCCGTAATTATAGTTCCTGCACCACATGTTGGTAAACTAACTCAATGCAAATCAAAATCTAATAATGTTTTGCTGGATTTGGCCTCTTCTTTTGATTCAAAGTACTTCACAATATATCTTCTATATATATAAAAAAAAATACTTAACCTATAAACTGAATTAAACGACTCTGCTAGTCAAGGCCTTGCGGAATTACCACGAAAGTTGGATTGGTCCTCGGCCACAGTATTGCTTGCCCGCAACACATTGATAGTTGGAAGATGGGTCACAATAATCTTGACAATTTATTTCCCTGAGATAGCAGTATCCCCAAGCGTATGGGCCATCGGGTGCTTCTGGCCACCCTCCTTTATGTAGGAGCATGCGTTGTCAAATTAGAGACAAGGAAATTAATCAACCAAGGATAACCCTATTTAATTAATTAAAGAATGAGTTTGTACAACGAGTCTACTCAACCTAGGCATCCTAAAATGACATTAATTGAAGTTATGAGCAAGGAATTAAATAAAAAATAAAACCCTACCGGTAGTTTCATGGGATGTCTGGCCCAGGAAAGCAGCTATCTCCCTTCTACGCGTCAGATTATCTCCAGTGTTACCAAAATCAGGAAATTCCTTGGCAGCGGAGATAAAAGCATCATAGGTGTAGAACCCAACAGCATGACATCGAGGATCATTTCTATACTTGAGCAAAGCATCAAACGTTGATTCTGGGATGATGTCACTTAAGTAACCATCACCTCCACCTCCACCACCGCCTCCACCACCCCCGCCTCCCCCATCACACTGGCTCTGACAACCATCACCACAATAATCATCCGTTGATCCACACCAACCATAAGAACTACAACATAGGCCTCCTGGGCACAAGGCATCCCCGGCTTGCTGACCGCATTGCTCAGCTGAGCCTCTAATGGAAAGGGACAAGAATAAGGAGAAAAATGTGAATGCCCAAACACTCATTTCTTCTTAATATGCTTGAGTTCGTTGATGATTGAGAAGGTGTAAGCATGGGGGTATATATAGCCAATAATAGAGGTATACGATGGCATTTCCGTCCTTGTAATAATTTGTAATAAAACATCATGTTTTCCCTGGAGACGGTAACAAAATTGCTATGTCACCATCATTTCCACGTTGATCATGAAGGTACGACAACTTGCGTGGAGGCTGTAGCCCAGCTGTAGAAGGGATTTATTTCTTCTTCTTCTTCTTTTTTCCTTTTTCTTTTTAATCTTTGAAGCAGGGTTAAAGTTTTATTGTTTATAATTGTTTTATATGTTTATTTAACTTGTAAAATATTTAAAAAATTTAAAATTTAATTATAATATATATAAATTAATTCAAACACTTCGAGCTATTAAAAAAATAAATACGACAACTTCCTTGCAAGAAAAAAAAAGAAAAATAAATCAGATTGATTAAGTGTACGTGAGCTTTGTTGTTTTATATGAAAAACCGATAACATAAGTTTCATCTTTGTCCCGTCTATCAACACGACTTACTCGTAAAATAAAAAAGGAAAAAAGAAATTAAATTAATTAATTGCATATGAGCTTTTCTCTTTATCTTGAAAATAAATTAAGTTTAGGTTTGAATCCTTTGTTGTTCGTATGATAGTTATTGGAAGCTTATATGGTCGTTAATTTCAGAGCCCGTAAAATTAGTCGTGGTACACGCAAACTATTCGGATATCCACATTAATTTCAGAGCCCGTAAAATTAGTCGTGATACACGCAAACTGATTCGGATATCCACGTTAATCTAAAAAAAAATAAAAAATTGAGAGTCCAAAGTTCTTTAAATCATTTGCTACCAGGAATGAAAAGTTATGAATGAGATTGCATGAATTAAAATGAAAATTAGGGATTTATAATTAAATTTTAATTATTATGTTATGTTTGAAATAGTAACAGGGAATGAGATTGGAATTTAAAATTTCTAAACTGAATTTTAAGATGAAAAATAATAATTTCATTTTTAGTAAAAATAATAAAAGTGATTGTGATAATGAAAAGAAGAAATAATAGTAATACAATAATATATTTTTGAAAAAAAACTAATGTAATCACCATCGATCATAGGAGGGTGGCAGTATAAAAGAATTGTGATGTTAATAAAAGTGTGGAGGTAAAATAAAAGTGGTGATGAAATAGCAATAATATTTTTTTATATATAAGAATAGTGATGATAATACTATGAATGATAACAAATAATTAATATATAATATATAATAAATAATATATCATTAAAAAAAGATTTATTCTTATTCTTACTCTCACTTCATTTTATAAGAATGATTTTTATTTATTTATTTTCATTCTCACTTTGTTTTTTTCCTACTATAAAGTAAGAATAAAACTTTGATTCTTATTCTCTATTTTATTAAAAGTTAGCCTTTAGAACCAGA